TATTTATTTATAATGTGCGAGCTACATTTAAACCAAAATAGTTGAGTTACCGCACAAACACAAGCAATTCTTTTTAAAAAATTTCTTTTAGAAAATGTAAGTACTTAATGGTTAACTTAAAAGAATGTCACTACAGTAGACGATCGGTCAATTTTTGGTATTATACGTTAACCTGCTGGTGATCTCGTCTCCATCACACATATGGACAATAATAACACATCTGTCACACACACACACATGGACAGTGGTAATACCTCTGCCATACTTACTGTAACTGTAAACTTACTGTAGCAGTAAGTAACATACTTACTTACTGTGCGGTAACTCCTATTTCTTATATACATATTGATATGCCTAATATCTCTAACATTCTGAAACCTATATTGTTTGCTGATGATACTACCCTCATCTACTCTAACCCCAACCCACATACACTAAATAATGTTGTTAATAATGACTTAAAAAATGGAAACTTATGGGTGTCAACCAACAAACTAACACTTAACATAGAAAAGACCCACTACATCTTATTTGGAAGCAAATCTACAAATGCAATTCAGCTTCATATAGACAATGTAAATATTAGTAATAAAAATGATGGAAAGTTTCTTGGCCTATTCCTAGACAAGAGACTCAACTTCAGCACCCACATTCAACACACAACTAACAAAGTCTCTAGAACAGTTGGTATACTCTCCAAAATCAGATATTATGTACCTAACTCTGCTCTCGTCTCTCTATACTATGCCCAAATCTATCCCTATCTCAACTATGGTATCTGTGCATGGGGTTCAACCACTGCAAATCACCTCAAGTCCATCATCACCCAGCAAAAATCTGCTATCAGAATAATAACAAATTCTGCTTTCAGAATTTGGGGCAACACTCAGCCCCCTTGTTTAACTCCCTTAACATGCTAAACATAATCTCTCTCCATAAATTCTCTTGTGTCAACTACATTTACAAAACCCTGCTCTTAAATGCAAATCCTGCTCTGAAACTCTCCCTGTACAGATGTAATAGGACCCATTATCACCACACCAGAAATAAATATCTCTTTGATATCCCCAGAGTCAAACTTAATCTGTGTAAACACTCTATGCAAATAAAGGGACCCAGTCTATGGAACTCACTCCCTAATGAATTGAAAAGCTGTCCAACTTTTGCGTCATTCAAAAACAAAACTAAAAAGTACCTAATTTCATCTTCATAGATTTTTACCTTGTTGCTTTAAAATTGCACTGTATCTATTGCTACCCAATCTCCCAATCTTTATGTACCCAATCCGAACAACTATACCATAGTGATCATTGCTGTCTTCTTATATGTGCTATCAATCTGCTGTATGGTGCCTATTTACCTTTTTTAAATTACCAATCAAACTGTCAATGTAATCAATCAGAGCTTTAATATACCAATGTGCTTTACTATACTTACTAATCTCTCTCATCTCATTTTTTCCTTGCAATGTATTTGTTACAATTTTATTAATTCTGCTAGAATTTACCTACTTAAAATTATCTGTTAGATTAAGGACCTGCCCGAAACGCTGCGCGTACTAGTGGCTTTACAAGATTGTAAACACCATGCTATGTATTCTCTCAAACCCAATGTACCTTCTTGTATATAAATAATTAAAGTAAATAAAAAATACTTAACCAAAGTAGAAATGCTCTGCAAATCAAGGGTCCCAAAATGTGGAACAACCTTCCCAATCACCTCAAAGACTCTTGACCAGTTTAAGACAAAAACCTAATCGCTTACTAATTACTATCTAATCAGCTCAATGTAACCTACCTTACCTCCTAAATGTCAAGCTATGTCTTGCTATTATCAAGCATTAAAGTGATTAATGATTAACCTGAATGATTAATGACTAACTTGTAAAACTGCTGATATCTGTCATGTATAAATTAAGATAAAATTGTAGTCCGTCTGTTTATTGAATTAAAATTACTATCTGTTGTTCTGTTGCAATTTTTGCCGTTCCATTCAACGTGTAACTATTGTCTTTTTTTCAGTTCAATTTTATTCTTTTGATTTCAATTAGTTTTAAGTCTTAGTTTCCAGTTTTTCTTCTCTTATTTTGCCCGAAACGCTGTGCGTATTAGTGGCTTTATTTATTTATTTATTTATTTATTTATTTATTTATTTATTTATATACAAGAAGGTACATTGGGTTTGTGAGAATACATAGCATAGTATTTACAATCTTGTAAAGCCACTACTACGCGCAGCGTTTTGGGCAGGTCCTTAATCTAACAGATAATTTTAAGTAGGTAAATTCTTGCAGAATTAATATAATGATAACACCATAGGCATAGTATACTATCTAAAAATCCTACATTAAGTTTGTAACTCATTTTGTATGTATGTACTTTTACATAATTATAATTACTACACACAAGGACCCTGGCAATCCCTCCGTCACACATGTGACGGGGACGTGACGGGTGAGTGGCCAACGCTCGGGACTCGTAATCCTAGGGACCCGGGATCGATTCCCTAGCGATGGCGGAAACAAATTGGCAGTTTTTTCACTCTGATGTTACCTAGCAGTAAATAGGTACCTGGGAGTTAGACAGCTGCTACGGGTTGCTTCCTGTGTGTGTGTGAAAAAAAAGTTGAATGATTGACAGTTGAGAGGCGGGCTGAAAGAGCCAGAGCTCAACCCCCGCAAGCACAACTAGGTGAATACAACTAGGTTGATATATATGGACACTGGCAACACTTCCGTCACACACACACACACACACACACACACACACACACACACACACACACACACACACACACACACACACACAACGTCACCATCACAGCTGTGAACCACCAATAGGACAACCACTAGTGTCATCGGAGGACACGACACAATTAAAGAACATTTCAGCAGCTTATAGAATACGTAACGACAAAATCGTGAGGGCGCAAACAACATGGGAATTTGTGTTAAATTATTACTGAAAAAGGAGGGTCTCTAATTTGCACTTTGGCTAAGAACGCGCCAAAGTGCGATTCAGAAAAGTGTACTTACGAAGATTCTAAGTAGTTCACTTAGGTCTCGCTAGATGTCACTAGGGCTTTTAGTTTAGCCAATCAGAGAGAAGGTAACATTTTTCATCTTACAGTAGTAGCCAATCACGACGCTGGCATAACGGAGCTTGTCCGTAATCGCTTGCCACTTATTTCCGTCAAATTTTCTTATAAAATTAGTATATTTCGACGTAAAACTATGTTTTTTTCAACTTCTACAGTCAGCACCGACAATGTGGTATACAAATATGTTACATTTTTGTTTATCTACGTAATTCTAAGAGATAATATGTGGCTTTCTTTGTCGCTCCCAAGATTTAAAAAGCGATGGTAGTTATTTACGTATATATTTACCTAAATTAACCCAAGGACCACTATTTAGTGGCACCGACGAGGACAGAAAGCCGGGGGCTTGTTAAAAGTCCCGCCAATTGTCCTAATGATATTTTCTAGCTGGATTTTGGCATTTACGGCTTCAGCGGGTAGGCGGTTCCATGGGTTTATAACTTTCTGGGTGAAAAAACTTGTTTTGGGTCCTACTTGAGAGGACATACTCTCCGACACTATATCTGTGATTGCCCTGTTATCAGATTGCCGTGTTAACATCAATGTAACATCTCTTAGCAAACACCATGATGATGTTGGTGCCTTATTGCAATCACGAAACTACCAATTCTTATTTGTTATTTTCTTAATTGAGACCTAGTTGAATGATGACACAGCCCAACTATTTAATATTTCCCATTATTCAGCTATCCACAACTGTAAGCCTAACCAGAGATGGTGATCAGCAATGTCTCACCATAAGGAGCTGTCATCAACAAAAGTTATCAAATCTAGAGATAATCATAGAGATTATATTTTTCCCAGTTCAAAATGAAAGGTTTCAACATTAGCATAACTTTGGGAGCAGTCTATAGACTTCCTAACACTGATGTAGTTGAATTCAACTCCAATCTTAGAAACCTGATACTTAGTAAGAAGGTAACTAGAATCAACTAATATTAACTAATTTCAATATTGACCAGTGACAACCTGATAACTTGATAATATTAACTAATTTCAATATAGATCAGTGACGGCCTGATAACCCACTTGTTGCCAGCTTCCTCAACTGTATGAACTCCTGTAGGCTTTTGCCCATGATTACTAAACCCACCTGAATTACTGACACACTGCCTCCACCCTTGACCACATTTGGACTAACATGACCTCTGGAACAAACACTGGTGATGCAACAGACCCAACACATAACCAGTATTTCTAAACCTCCTCTTGAAACACACAAACTGAGCTTCGACTGCATACTAAAGCCTCATAGGTAACTTTGCTGTTGCTGCTGCTGGCAACATAAACTGAGAAACAGAACTAGGTTATATAGCTAACATTAATCTAGGTGTGCAGACATTTCTTCACAAAACTCTAAGCCTCTATAATAACCACGGTTTCGCATCTTGCAGGTCGGCGTTCAATCCCCTACCGTACATGTGGTTGGGCACCATTCCTTACCCCCCGACCCATCCCTAATCCTTATCTTCATCTCTTCCAAGTGCTATACATTCTTAATGGCGTAACACTTTCTCCTGCTCATTATCTCACCTTACCTCACTCTCAAGCTTAGCCGTGACCTTCGCGTCAGACAGCTTGGGACACACCTCCTGGAGGGTACTTGAAGGCTCTCGTCTCCTCATCAAGAGCTGCGACAATTTGTGAAAGGTAAAGTTTGATGGGAATAACAGCCATTTTCTATACTTTGGAGGCATAAACAATTACAAAATACCACTATCCAGGGACAAAACTGTTGGTGCATAGTATTATCTTACCTCGCCAGACGGCCATTTTGGGGATATTGAACAATATGTGTATATAGTTACTAGGATCTACTGAAGAAGGAAGAATGCTCACAGGTCAACACACCCTGCAACAGGCCCGACAAGCAGCGGGACTCAGCAGGAGAGGAAACTCACTGGCTCCTGCAGAAGGCGAGGGCGTGGAGAGAGGGGCGACTCTGGAGGCCTTAGAGGGCTGCGGTGAGGGCAGCTCGTGGGAGTGCTGAGTGCAGAGAGTCGGCCCCGGACGCCCAACGCGCACAGGGACGCGCAGACCTGAGGCTCTTGGGCTCTCCATGTCGTAGTGACGGTCACGTGATGACGATATAGGGGTGATAGGGGTAACACCTCTGTAGGTGTGTCACAGATGCTGCCTGGTGAGGTAACACCTCTGTAGGTGTGTCACAGACGCTGCCTGGTGAGGTAACACCTCTCTAGGTGTGTCACAGACGCTGCCTGGTGAGGTAACACCTCTCTAGGTGTGCCACAGACTATGCCTGGTGAGGTAACACCTCTGTGAGTTTACATCAACCGTGCGTTATACTCTCAATATGACTCACAATTTTCATTAATTGTTCACTCTGAACTTTATCTGTATAATAAAGCGAGCGAGTGAACAGAAACACACAACCCGTGAGCTTATCATCTGATGGAGTTGTGTTGTCTGGGTTGTCGTCCGTCCTGGGGAAGAGAAATATACCTGTTATTCACATGGTACCATGAACTGTCGTCCTGTAGAACATATTACATAGCTAATCTTATATAGGCCATCTTACTTAGCTAATCTTATATTGACCATCTTACATAGCTAATCTTATATAGACCATCTTACATAGCTAATCTTATATAGGCCATCTTACTTAGCTAATCTTATATTGACCATCTTACATAGCTAATCTTATATAGGCCATCTTACTTAGCTAATCTTATATTGACCATCTTACATAGCTAATCTTATATAGACCATCTTACATAGTCAATCTTATATAGACCATCTTACATAGCTAATCTTATATAAACCATCTTACATAGCTAATCTTATATTGACCATCTTACATAGCTAATCTTATATAGACCATCTTACATAGCTAATCTTATATTGACCATCTTACATAGTCTATCTTATATAGACCATCTTACATAGCTAATCTTATATTGACCATCTTACATAGCTAATCTTATATAGACCATCTTACATAGCTAATCTTATATTGACCATCTTACATAGCTAATCTTATATAGACCATCTTACATAGTCAATCTTATATAGACCATCTTACATAGCTAATCTTATATAGACCATCTTACATAGCTAATCTTATATTGACCATCTTACATAGCTAATCTTATATAGACCATCTTACATAGCTAATCTTATATAGACCATCTTACATAGTCAATCTTATATAGACCATCTTACATAGCTAATCTTATATAGACCGTCTTACATAGCTAATCTTATATAGACCATCTTACATAGCTAATCTTATATAGACCATCTTACATAGCTAATCTTATATTGACCATCTTACATAGCTAATCTTATATAGACCATCTTGCATAGCTAATCTTATATTGACCATCTTACATAGCTAATCTTATATTGACCATCTTACATAGTCAATCTTATATAGACCATCTTACATAGCTAATCTTATATAGACCATCTTACATAGTCAATCTTATATAGACCATCTTACATAGCTAATCTTATATAGACCATCTTATATAGCTAATCTTATATAGACCATCTTACATAGCTAATCTTATATAGACCATCTTACATAGCTAATCTTATATTGACCATCTTACATAGCTAATCTTATATAGACCATCTTGCATAGCTAATCTTATATTGACCATCTTACATAGCTAATCTTATATTGACCATCTTACATAGTCAATCTTATATAGACCATCTTACATAGCTAATCTTATATAGACCATCTTACATAGCTAATCTTATATTGACCATCTTACATAGCTAATCTTATATAGACCATCTTACATAGTCAATCTCATATAGACCATCTTACATAGCTAATCTTATATAGACCATCTTACATAGCTAATCTTATATAGACCATCTTACATAGCCAATCTTATATAGACCATCTTACATAGCTAATCTTATATAGACCATCTTACATAGTCAATCTTATATAGACCATCTTACATAGCCAATCTTATATAGACCATCTTACACAGCTAATCTTATATAGACCATCTTACATAGTCAATCTTATATAGACCATCTTACACAGCTAATCTTATATAGACCATCTTACATAGCTAATCTTATATAGACCATCTTACATAGCCAATCTTATATTGACCATCTTACATAGCTAATCTTATATAGACCATCTTACATAGTCAATCTTATATAGACCATCTTACATAGATAATCTTATATAGACCACCTTACATAGCTAATCTTATATAGACCATCTTACATAGCCAATCTTATATAGACCATCTTACATAGCCAATCTTATATAGACCATCTTACATAGTTAATCTTATATAGACCATCTTACATAGCTAATCATTATACAGGTAATCTTGCACAGATCATCTTACATAAGTAATCTTAAGTAGACAATCTTGCACTAAAAGCATTTCATAAACCTCATAATTCTCCCTCACAGATGGCCACCTGCCATATCCGTCCTCCAACCTGTCATCTTACAAAGAACGTCTCATTTCGCTCTTATGCGTTACATACGGGCAAAAATGGTCGTACTAGAAAATGGCAAAAATGACGTACTGTCCCGTTTTCTGTTTTGGGCCCCCCTGGTAAGTTAGGAGAGACCACTTTAAAATGGCCGTTTTTCTTGACGTAGGGAAACCTTAGGAGGACGGGCTGCTCCACCACCACCACAAGAGCCCTCCTCATAGATGCCCCCGCCCCCCCCCTAAATGACCAGACAGAGAACAGCGATAAAAGAAACGGTCAACGCCTACAGTTTATGCAAATGGACCACTTAATATTTAAACCCCGACTGACAGACTAATGATCTCTGGCGGGTGCCGGGGAGATAAGGGGTACACAGGCCCGCATGCTGGGGTGTTGGGTACACACCCTGCCCGGTCACACTTCCTTCCCCACACTCCTTCCTCCGGGAGGAGCTCACCTGTGTGATGCCAGGGGCTGTTACTATCACCTGTGTGACGCCAGGGGCTGTTACTCTCACCTGTGTGACGCCAGGGGCTGTCACCCTCACCTGTGTGACGCCAGGGGCTGTTACTCTCACCTGTGTGACGCCAGGGGCTGTTACTCTCACCTGTGTGACGCCAGGGGCTGTTACTCTCACCTGTGTGACGCCAGGGGCTGTTACTATCACCTGTGTGATGCCAGGGGCTGTTACTATCACCTGTGTGACGCCAGGGGCTGTTACTCTCACCTGTGTGACGCCAGGGGCTGTTACTATCACCTGTGTGATGCCAGGGGCTGTTACTATCACCTGTGTGACGCCAGGGGCTGTTACTATCACCTGTGTGACGCCAGGGGCTGTTACTATCACCTGTGTGATGCCAGGGGCTGTTACTATCACCTGTGTGACGCCAGGGGCTGTTACTATCACCTGTGTGACGCCAGGGGCTGTTACTATCACCTGTGTGACGCCAGGGGCTGTTACTCTCACCTGTGTGACGCCAGGGGCTGTTACTATCACCTGTGTGATGCCAGGGGCTGTTACTATCACCTGTGTGACGCCAGGGGCTGTTACTCTCACCTGTGTGACGCCAGGGGCTGTTACTATCACCTGTGTGATGCCAGGGGCTGTTACTATCACCTGTGTGACGCCAGGGGCTGTTACTCTCACCTGTGTGACGCCAGGGGCTGTTACTCTCACCTGTGTGACGCCAGGGGCTGTCACCCTCACCTGTGTGACGCCAGGGGCTGTTACTCTCACCTGTGTGACGCCAGGGTCTGTCACACTCACCTGTGATGACGCCAGGGGCTGTCACACTCACCTGTGATGACGCCAGGGGCTGTCACTCTCACCTGTGTGACGCCAGGGGCTGTCACCCTCACCTGTGTGACGCCAGGGGCTGTCACCCTCACCTGTGTGACGCCAGGGGCTGTCACCCTCACCTGTGTGACGCCAGGGGCTGTCACCCTCACCTGTGTGACGCCAGGGTCTGTCACCCTCACCTGTGTGTTGTGACCCAAATATGTAGGAGTGACTTATGTAGTCTTGTCTCTCAAGCGTACGGGGGTACCCGCAGTGTTTACGAGTGTGTATGAATGTATGAGTGTGTGTGTGTGTGTGTGTGGGAGCAGGTGGTCAAGACATCTGGCCGGCCAGGATGTCACTACCGTCTGACAAGTATTCACCATGTATGGGTGTTATGAGCAGAGGCAGTTCAAGGATCTAGAGTGACCGGAAACTAGAGCCGGAAACGGGTTTGGGGCAGGCGAAAGGGTTTGTTGTGTGGAGGGCAGAGGACATATGTGATCAGATATGGATGTCGGAGTTGACGTTGACTGGAGCAATTGGCCGAAGGCAGTTCTGTTCTGGCCGTCAGACTGGGCGGTGATCCGGTAGAACCATGGGTACAGCAGCAGTGGGGCTGATGCTGTAACAGTGTAAGTGTATTTCACTGTTCCCTGTGTGTTTGTAGTGTGAGTTGTGAGTATTAGACGTGTGGTTGTGTGTTGCGTGCGTGCGATTGTGAGTGTATAACCATGGAGAGTAGCGTGTGAGGGAGGTGGTGCTCGGGCGAGGCGTTGATTGGGCAGTATCAGCAGGTATCAGCAGTACTCAACATAGACGAGCCTGGTACTATACACCCTTCCACGGCTGGTGGGCGCGTACCATCACTTAGAGTGGAGCTTCTGCAACAGAGAGTACACCGGCCAGCTCCTCCCCAGTTCCCCCTCTCCCCTAGTGGCTGCCAGTCACACACAGTGGGTGAAGATGTCCCTCTGAATTGAGAAGGTAAGAGCTGTCAGTAAAGCCTTTAGTGTTTTAGAGAGTATAGTAAATAGTGCCAGGACGCCATGTTTGGTACAGGAATGTCGAGTGATTGGTTTCCTCTTTTATGTAATTCCAGTGCCAATGAATTGGTTTTAAGATTTCATGACTTGACTAGTGAATTTCGAATTATTTGGTAAATAAAGTGCTCTGTTAAGTTTGAGAGGATTAACATTGAGTAAATATTGAGATCCCTGAGAATAATATCAGAAAGTAGTAATGAGCTCTGATCCCTTACAGATTAGGAGTTAAGGAGAGATAACAAGATGGACTAGTGAGGGAGGAAGTGAGGAGTATGAGGGGCGTGGTGAGGAAGGTGTCTCCCTTCATATCCCCCCCCCCCCCCACGGGCAACGGGCGGGGAGTCCGCTAAGTGAAGTTTAATAAAGTAGTGTTTACTCTCACATTGCTTAAGATCTTTTTATGACAGGATGGTGGCAGCATTTAGTATTAAGCGTCTCTTTCCATTCCTACTCCTACTCCTTCCTTCTCTCTCCTCTTCTACCTGACTCCCTCCTCCCGACCTATCCTCAGTTTTCCATTCTCTCCCTACTAGTCTCCCCTCCGCTTCCCCGTTTTCTATCCATCCCCAACCCCCCTCTTCCCGCACTTTTCTTTTATCACATTCCTTATATGTAAACTGTGTCAACAAAATTATTCGCACACCCTCCGTCACTATGTGATGGAGTGCGAAAAGAT